TTTGTGACTTTCACAATGTGATTTTCCATTTTTGAGTTGGGTAAAAAATGTTTCATTGATTTTTTAGTCGGTCAAATTGCGCCCTACGCCACTGCTTGTAATGATTTTCCATCAGAAATTGCGCTTTCCGATTTATCGAACGATTTTTATTCCGCCTTGACTTCCTTCCTTTCGTCTAAATTTGGAAATGATTCATATTTTTTAACACTTTGTTTTCTTTGTTTGCGGTCAACCATCGGGCAACACATCCGTTCAGACGCGCCAATTATTATTATCTCCCATTAATCGGATATGTGAATATGCGTCGATACTTTGAACTGAAATGCCACGCTTGCATTCTTTCACTGATTGCGAAGAAAATGCGAATCTAATTCGGTTAAAGGCAACCGAACCGAATTTCTGACACTTTATTACCATGGGAAAGAAGAGTTTACAGATGTTTACAGATTCTCGCTAAAAGCTATTCTAATCACCTTGATTATGAAGCAGGAAAAGTAAATAGAGAATGCACGAAGCCTAGGAGTGCTCCTCGCAGCAATTGAAAAGATTGGTCCTAAAGTTGCATCTTGCGTAACGCCCATTTTGTATACCTAATTACTTTCAAATTTCGATAATTTCGGTTTCGATCGTGTCATCGTGTGTCATCTTCTTGGAAAAAACGTTAATTTTAATTATTATTTGTCGATTTTGAGGTAACCGAAGAAATCAAGCATAATAATAGTTGCGTGTCGATTTTTTTCGGTACCAAATGATTATATGACGAGGTAATTACGTATCAGACGTTCGAAATATGTCGATTGGGGTTCGTTGGGCCCCTCAAAACCCGATGATCCTCTCTAACGGAGTTTTCTCTATACCGTGTGACAGAAAGACGACACTTTAATGGCAGTATTTACGAGGTTTGTATTTATATAATAATAAAAACATGGAGATACGAGCGAATAATAATTGCTCATTTCGTATTTTTCATGGGAATGTGAACTTTCCTAAGTCCGGTCGTGATATTGTCAACAATAACGGAAGGATAATGTCGACGAGATGCGAGCAATTGCATATGTCAACGTATCAATTTTAATACAGTTAGCCTAATTACAAGTTCGAAGATTTCTTTTCTATTGTTTAGAACATCACGACAAGATTTTACTGAAAGCTAACGAGGATTTAATTGGACCTTGAAGACTCGACAATAATCTATAATTTAATTGTCAAGCGCCGGAAGCTAAATTAACCAAATATCAGAATCACAAAAAATCATGACAGTCTCGACTACTCTTTTCTCCCATTTTACTCCACTGATTTATGCAATTAGACGGCTTTTAAACTCTAAATTCTCCTGAAATCTCAAGAAAACAAAATAAAGAGTGTCACGCAAGGGTCAACTTTCGGCCCATTTCTTTATACACAGGCTGTTCCACATTAGAAGATTGGGAGTTCTAACAATGATTAGGTTAGGTTCTGCTCAATAAAAATATTACTCAAGTGATTTTGAGAGAGTTTTCATTAGCTTTCCCTATACCTAACCGTTTTCGAAATATTTAGACCTTTTTAAAAAATTTGGGATTTGAATCTTGCTATTCAAAAATCGGTAACTCTACCATTTTTTATTATGTTGAAACCGTATTTAGGTATACGAGAGAAAGGTGAGATCTTGTTTTTAGTGTATTTATAATTGGAAAAATAATTAACAAACCGCCAAAATGTAAGGTTACTTCTAGGAAACTTCAAATACCCTTAACTCAATTTTTCTAAATGAGACACCTCAATTTTTTATTCACTAAATTGAGGAGGATTTAGTTCTACTTTGATCTGTATTAACATTCCCTATACCTATGTTTGATAGTTTTCAAGTTATAGTAACTTCTTTTGACATCGTGAGAAATTTATTAACCATAGCTAGTTTAGCATAGAAATAAAAAAAATTGAATATCAAAGTTACTCAAATTTAGATTAAATAAATTTAATTTGTATTTACGAAAAGAATAACACAATTGTGAAAAAACTTGTCGTTTTTTCAGTAAGAAATATTTCCATGACAAACTATGCAAAAACTACCATGGATAGTAATGAATTTCTTCTATTGTAAAAAAGAGTCAAAATAACATGGAAATCATTAAATTTAGGTATAGGGAATGTTGATACAGATTGATGCAGAATTAAATTCTCTTATTTAGTAAAGAAAAAAAAATTGGGGCCTTCCATTTGAAAAAATTCAGTTACAGGTGTTTGAAGTTTCCCAGACGTAGCTTTAAATTTTGGAAATTTGTTAATTATTTTTCCAATTATCAACACACGAAAAAAAAATTATGGAATAATCTTATTTATTAAAACTGAAAATATTTTCAATTTTCTTTTTAAAAAATACAAAAATCTCTTTTTGTTGATATTGTTTTACTCTTTTTGTGATTTTTTTTCGAAAACTTTATGTAATATTTAACATTTTGGTGTTGTCATTTCGACAATTAAAAGATCTTTCGAATTGGCTAAAAAATTAGGGATTTCCATTTAAAAAACATGTCGAGGACGTCATTACTCAAAAACCAAAAAATGTAAAATTTTAAATCAAGTTGAAAATTGTGTATTTTTTCAAAAGAAAATTGACTTGTTCAAACATTTTTGCCAAAATAAAATATTTTCAGTTTTAATAAGATTATTCTACGTCAAAAATTATTATACAGGATGTCCGCTTTTCGAGTTCTGCTATGAGAATCTCAGAATTCTAAGAACAACTATCTAAAAAAAATTGATGTGTCATTTTTAGTTTTTAAATTATTGGATAAATTGAATAAAACATTATCATTGAGCATCACATCACTTTTAGAACTCCCAATACTTCTAATGTGGGGTTTAGCCGGAACAGCCTATATATTTGTGGGTTTTTTGAACCAGCTGGAATATCTCATATACAGAATGGACAAATAATAGTTGGTGAAAGATAAAATCCCGTTTTTTTAGTTCTACGATTTTTTTCTTTTTTTATTCACCAAATCTATTGTTCTTATATCATTGATATTTTGTGGAATTCGTTAATAAATTAGCGATTTCGACAAAATACTTGTGTTTTGCTAAGGCATTTAGCAAAAACTCAAATCATTAAGACCGTCCCCCTCCCTTACAGACAGTTTTTCCTCAGGCAAAGATACAGGGATGCCAACATTCGGCCGTCCCGAAAACGACCTAACCGAAGAACGAATAGCTCACATTCTAAACGAAGCGAATCAATTCCAACAAATGAAAACCCACGCTGAGGATAGTCACAGTAATGACGATTCAAAGTCTCCTCATAACCAGTGTTTAAGTCCTTTCTCGAAGGACTCGTCCCAAAATCGCCGACTGAAAAAGTACGAAAACGACGACATTCCTCAGGAGAAGGTTGTGAGGATTTACCAAGAGGAGTTGGCGAAGTTGATGGGGAGGAGGATTGAGGATTTTAGGAATCCTCGAGAAGCGTTTCCTGGGTGAGTATGGCATTGGAGGGTGTCAGTTGCTAAACTCATTGTAGTATGTTTTTCCCCCAATTATTTAGTGGAGGACAGATTGATCGGACACAGGAGGAGATACGGATGGCACTTGATGCCTACCATCGCGAAATTGTTAAACTAAATCAAACAAATCCGGGCCAAATGCCCAATTTGGGGCTATTAGCCTTACAACAGCAAGCATTAGCCCAACACCAACCCAATGGAGGGGTTCAAGACTTGTCGTTGCCCAAAGACAAGAAAATTGTCAATGGAGGAGAGGAGAAAGACAAGGAGGGATCAGACGAAGGGTTACGACATTCCGGGAGTGCTTTTAGTCTCGTGAGACCTAAAATCGAACCAGGGTCACAACCTTCAAGTGGCTCGACTGCCTCAAGCCCTTTGGGGAACTCAATCCTTCCACCGGCGATGACCCCAAATGAAGAATTCTCCGGATCTTCGGTTGCAAGTCCCCTCCAAAGAATGGCTTCCATTACCAACTCCCTCATCTCCCAGCCTCCAAGCCAACCCCACCATTCAACCCCCCAAAGACCCCTCAAAGCCGTCCTTCCCCCCATCACCCAACAACAATTCGACCAATACAACAATCTCAACACCGAAGATATCGTGAAGAAAGTCAAGGAACAATTAAGTCAGTATTCGATAAGTCAGAGGCTTTTTGGGGAGTCAGTCTTGGGGTTGTCTCAAGGCTCGGTTAGCGACCTTTTGGCCCGCCCCAAACCCTGGCACATGTTAACCCAAAAAGGGCGCGAGCCCTTCATCCGAATGAAAATGTTCTTAGAGGACGACAACGCCGTCCATAAACTCGTCGCAAGTCAGTACAAAATCGCCCCCGAGAAGCTCATGAGGACGGGGGGCTACGGCGGCGCCGCCGTCTCCATAGGCAAACCCATGCCCCCCACCCCCAAAATGCTAAACGACGCTGCAGGTATCATCAGTAAAATGCAAGAAACGCAAAATTTGTTACCACCGTCATTGCAATTAGGACCGCCGCCTCTTAATCAAAACCCACAGCCGCCGCCGATGCTCCTCACGCCCCCAGGAGTGCCCCCACACCATGCCATCAGTCTACAAAACCCAGACCATTTGAAGAAGAATCCCAGTCCGCATGGAATACCACATTCACCCATGGGACAGCACCAGAGTCTGAGGAACATGCACCAGCATATGTCCCCAAGTGTGTACGAAATGGCGGCCCTTACCCAGGACCTGGACACACAAGTGATCACTACCAAGATCAAGGAGGCGCTTCTAGCAAATAACATCGGACAAAAAGTGAGTCTTGCTTTAGGTCGCACCCCCACTTTGGAGGGGGACACGGCCTAAAGGTTCTCTAATTGATTTATCATTTTTTATCAATTATTTTAAATCGGAATTAGTCACTTCTTACGCAGAAAACGACACGTTTTGATGTTTTTTTTTTCTTGTTTTTTTCTATTATTTCTATATTTTGTAACTTTGAGAAAAAAATCACAATATTTTTCAAGTCAATAAGTAATTTAAAATGATAAAAATACAGAGTTTCTTTCGGCTATCCCGAATAGAAATTGACTACTTTCCCCATAAAAATCATCTGAAAACATAAAAATAGTGGCAATTTTTGATATTTTGCTTGGAATTATTTGAAAGTATTTGGAATTATTAAAACTATGTTGGGATTGTTTGGGATAACTAGAATTATTTATGAAATACTGGAATTTTTTTGGAACTGCTGCATTATTTTTTTGAATTTACTGATAGAATTTTTTTGGAGTTTTCGGAGATAATTTTGTTAAATTTTATTGGAAGTAATTTAGAATTAGAGGAAATGTTTTACACATTTTTTTCAAGTTAACGGCCCTTCGAATAATGTCTAGGTAGTAATTATGAGATTCATATTTTTGATCACAATTAATTCGTGTAAAAAAATTATTTTTTTTTAATATGAAAACGTAGACAGTATAGTTTTCATCTCGCAATAGTGGCCATTATATACTCAAATAATTAAAAAAACTCGCGCTATGCTCGTTTTATAAACTTTACCTTTGTAAATAATAATTATCTTTTTTATCGTCAAAGTTCTCAAATTTATTTTTGACTAAGATCGTTTTGAAATATCTGAGAAGTTTCATTATTCCAGGACCGGACTTAATTTTTTAAATATAAATATGAGATTATAACGTATAAAGACGTAGAAAAATCAAATTTAAAATTAGAAGAAATATTTCGGAATTACAAGAATTAAGTTGTAATTATAGGAATTAATGTAGAAACGTTGGAAATACGATGAATTATTGAAATTATTGGAATTATTCAAGTTAACGCCCCTTGAATAATGTCTGGGTAGTAATCATAAGATTCATATTTTTAATCAAAATTAACTCATAATTAAAAAAACGTAAAAAAATAAAAATAAAAATATTTTTACGTGAAAACGTAAGCGTAAGTAAAGTAAGTTTTCATATTACATATAGTAACCATTATATACTCAAATGACTAAAAAACTCGCGCTCTGCTCGTTTTATAGACTTAATTTTTCTAAATAATAATTTATCTTTTCTTATTATAAAAGATCTCAAATTTATATTTAACAAAAATTATTGTGAAATATGTGAGAAGTTTTATTATTCCAGAACCGGACTCAATTTTTTGAATATGAATTTGAGATTATAACGTAAAGCCGTAGAAAAATCAAATTTAAAATAAAAGGAAAAATTTTGGATTACAAGAATTAAGTTGTAAGTATTTATTATAGGAATTGATCTAAAAACAATGGAAATACGATGGATTATTATTGAATTTACTGGAATTGTCTTTAGAATTATCGGAGATATTTTTTTTTATAAAATTAAGTTAAATTTTTTAGAACCATTAAAAGTAATTTAAAATTAGAGGATATATTTTACATATTTTTTTCAAGTTAACGGCCTCTCGAATAATGTCTAGGTAGTAATCATAAGATACATATTTGTAATCAAAATTAACTCCTAATAAGTAAAAAAACGTAAAAAAACAAAAATAAAAAATATTTGAACGTGAAAACGTAAACGTGAGCATATAAAAAAAATAAGAAACCTAATTGCGTAAAAATGTAACATATTACGTAACAGTATCAAAGAGAAAGTGTAGTTTTCATCTCGCATATATACTCAAATGATTAAAAAACTCGTTCTCTGCTCGTTTTATAAACTTTATCTTTGTGAATTAATAGGTAATAAAATAATAATATATCTTTTTATTTTATCATAAAAGTTCTCAAATTTGTAATTACTGGAATTCTTTTTAGAATTATCGGAGATAATTTCCTTTGAAAATTTTATTATTAATTTGGAATAACCGGAATTATTTTGGAATTACGAAAATTAAATTGGAATTACACAAATTGTATTAGAATTACTGGAATTTCGGTGATTTTTTTTTGGAATTACTAGAATTTTTTGGAATTGAAATAGTTGTACACATTTTTTTTAAAGCTAACGGCCAGTCGTTTTTTATTTTTTTAAATTTTTTGTTGCTTTTTTACTATATTTGTCATGTCATTAAGTCATAATATTGAAAACACTCATTTTTTTGTGTAAAAAAGTCGCTAAGACTGGGATTTTTGCAGATATTTGGCGAGGCAATCCCAATTACTGGGATTTTTTGGAATTTGAATTTTCAAGTTAATGGCCCCTGGTTTTTTTTTCTTTTTTTTGTATCTTTTTTAAGTCTAAAAACACATTTTTTCGTTTTTTTGCCGAAGCAATCACAATTATTTTTTTAAATTAGAATTTTCAAGTTAATAGCCTTTTTCCTGTTTTTGTATCTTTTTTAAATCAAAATATTAAAAACACATTTTTTCGTGTAAAAAGTCGCTAAGAGAGGGATTTTTTCTAATATTTGGCGAGGCAATCCCAATTACTATGATTTTTTGAAATTAGAATTTTCAAGTTAATGGCCCCTCGTTTTTTTGTTTTTTTCTCTTTTTTCTTTGTATCTTTTTCAAGTCAAAATGCTAAAAACACATGTTTTTGAGTAAAAAGTCGCTAAGAGTGAGATTTTTGCAGATATTTGGCGAAGCAATCCCAATTACTGTGATTTTTTTGGAATTAGAATTGTCAAGTTAATGGCCCCTTGTTTTTTTGTTTTTTTTCTTCTTTTTTGTATCTTTTTAAACTGGAATACTAAAAACAAATTTTTTCGTGTAAAAAGTCGTTAAGAGCGGAATTTTTTCAAATATTTGGCGAGGCAATCCCAATTATTGAGATTTTTTGGAATTGGAAATTTCAAGTTAATGGCCCCTCGTTTTTTTTTCTTCTTTTTTGTATCAAGTCAAAATTCTTAAAACACATTTTTTCGTAAAAAAATTCACTAAGAGTGTAATTTTTGCAGATATTTGGCGAGGCCGTCCTCGGCCTCTCTCAGGGATCCGTCAGCGAGCTGCTCTCGAAGCCAAAACCGTGGCACATGCTGAGCATCAAGGGCCGCGAGCCCTTCATCCGCATGCAACTGTGGCTCAACGACGCCCACAACATCGACCGCCTCCAAGCCCTGAAGAACGAGCGTCGCGAAGCGAACAAAAGACGCCGCTCCTCCGGGCCCGGCGCCCACGACAACAGCTCGGACACGTCCTCGAACGACACCTCCGAATTCTACCATTCCAACTCTCCAGGTCCCGGCCCCACCAAAAAGCAACGCGTGCTCTTCTCCGAGGAGCAGAAGGAGGCCCTCCGCTTGGCCTTCGCCCTCGACCCGTACCCCAACGTGGCCACCATCGAGTTCCTCGCCTCGGAATTGGGGCTGTCGAGTCGCACCATCACCAACTGGTTCCACAACCACAGGATGCGGCTGAAACAGCAGGTGCCCCACGGGATCGCCTCCGACATCCCCCCGAGGGAGCAGAGCAGTCAGGGGCCCTTCGACCCGGTGCAATTCCGGCTGTTGCTAAACCAAAGACTTTTAGAGTTATCGAAGGAGAGGATGGGGCTAGGGGGGGTCCCTCTGCCCTATCCCCCCTACTTGGCCGCTAATACGAATTTAGCGGCGTTAATAAGCCGAGGATTGTTGCCAAGTGAGGTCGACATGGCGGCGTTAAACAACGCCGTTAAGGAGCAAATGAGTGGACTTGATTTATCAATGACGTCGCTGAAACGGGAACCTGGGGACGATTTCGACGACGATGATGTTGAGAGCAACGTGGGGTCGGAGGACTCCAACCTGTCTTCGAGTAGTTTGATCAAAAGCGAGCCCAAGGAGGCGCCCCCGAGCCAGGGCCGGAGTTCGAGACGGAAACCCGCCGCGCCCCAATGGGTCAACCCCGAGTGGCAAGACACCGACAAAGACAAGCCCTCCGGCGATGAGGTCATCATAAATGGGGTTTGTGTGATGCAAACCGAGGATTATGGGAGACGGAATTCGGAGGAGACGGTGAGGGTGGAGCCGACGCCGGTCCTGGACCGGTTCGAGGACGACCAAAGCGACGCCTCCTCCATAAGCAACGAGCCCGAGCCCCAAGCCAGCCAAATCGAGGAGAAAGAAGACAAGGAGGAAGAACCCCAAGTGACAAAAGATGATAAAGAGACAGAAGACGAGCGGTGGGATTACTAAAGTGATAAAAAGACAAGACTTCCGCGCGAAGTTAAGTGCAATCACGGATCGATATTTATTGTGATTACGATTTTTGTTAGCTTTTCTTGCCAACGAGGCACTGTTTCTCCCCTTTAAGTATAAGACTGTTACCATTTGCAAAGCAAAATGTTTTAAACATTGTGATAATTGCTTGTTTTCCGTGTGCTTCTCCCCGAAAAGGCCAAATCGCAATTGAATTTTTGTAAATACGAAATTTGCTCCACCCCTCCTCTAGTCTTTCCAGGGCATGACTTTTGGCCAGTTAAGTTTCTGTTGTTATTTTCCAGTGATCTCTGGAAGTGTCTGTTCATACATAGCTTTAATTTCCAAATAATTTAGGGTTAAAACAAAGCATATCGTTACTTGTAAGTATTACGAATCCACCCAATAGAAATGAATTTAAAATAGTGATGATGTTATCCTTGTTTCTCTTCCAGGACGATAAAATATGGCACGAGTGCAATATTTTATCCGGTTTTTAAAACAAATGAAATGTATATTTTTGGCAATATACAAGTTTGTGTAATTCTTCCATTGTATTATTCAATGTAAAAAAAGTTATTAAAATAAAATACGTAATGTTCTGCTCTTACAAAATGTTTAAAGAATAAGTGAGAGACATTATTAGCAAAATATGTATAAAATGATGCACATTTTTAAATAACTGCATGTAGAATAGCGTCGTAATAGGTTTTTCGCTGTAGAAAAGTATTTATCGTTTCGTAAAAATAAAACGAACTTTCTTAATTATCTGTTACATTTTTTATTGCTATTGACTCGAAATACCTGAAAGTTTGTTTTATTAACGACGTTTTTTTATTCTCATATTATATTTTATAAAATGTAGAAACTATGAAACGTTTAATTAGTAATGATTTCTGTATTGTAAATATTTACATCATATCATTCTCTTTTGAAATTTCTAAATTATACATTTCACTGTATTTAACGGTTGTTTTATTAAAAATCACCCAGAGATTGACGTCCAGTCTTCCACATCAAACTGTTTCAGTGGAACTCCAGACTGAATGTAATTAAACAAATAAAAGACGTGGAAATATTTAGTTGCATTTATTCAAGTACAATCCCTCAATCCCAGTAAACTTCTTCTTGTAAACCTCTTCCATAATAATAATAAAGTTCAATATCTCACCAACTTTCTCATATAATTTGTTTAAGTCGTCTTGACTCGTGAGTTTATTTTTTTATTGCATTTTGCGTGAAAATATCTACAGATTTGTCTACAAGAAATTACCACCTAGGATTTTAATTTTTAGGAAAATTACGTTTTTCACGTTCTCAAATGATTAAAAAATTTGTGCTCCACTCGTTTTATAAACTTTATCTTTGTGAGAATAATAATATATCTTTTTATTTTATCATAAAAGTTCTCAAATTTGTAATTAATGGAATTCTTTTTTAGAATTATCGGAGATAATGTCCTTGGAAAATGATATTATTAATTTAGAATTGCCGGAATTATTTTGGAATTACGAAAATTAAGTTGGAATTACGCAAATTGTGTTGAAATTACTGGAATTTCGGTGAATTTTTTGGAAGTACTGGAATTTTTTTGGAATTAGAATTAGTTGTACACATTTTTTTCAAGCTAACAGCCACTCGTTTTTTGTTTTTTTTTAATTTTTTGTAGCTTTTTACTATATTTGTCATGTCATTAAATCAAAATGATGAAAACATTTATTTTTTCGTGTAAAAAGTCGTTAAGAATGGGATTTTTGCAGATATTTGGCGAGACAATTACAATTACTATATTTTTTTAAATTAGAATTTTCAAGTTAATGATCCCTTTTTTGTGTTTTTTTTTCTTCTTTTTTTTGTATCTTTTTCAAGTTAGAATTATTTTATCATAAAAGTTTTCAAATTTGTAATTACTGGAATTCTTTTTTAGAATTATTGGAGATAATGTCCTTTGAAAATGATATTATTAATTTAGAATTGCCGGAATTATTTTGGAATTACAAAAATTAAGTTGGAATTACGCAAATTGTGTTGAAATTACTGGAATTTCGGTGAATTTTTTTGGAAGTTCTGGATTTTTTTTTTTTGAATTAGAATTAGTTGTACACATTTTTTTCAAGCTAACGGCCACTCATTTTTTGTTTTTTTTTTCTTTTTTTTTAATTTTTTGTAGCTTTTTACTATATTTGTCATGTCATTAAGTCAAAATAATGAAATCATTTATTTTTTCGTGTGAAAAGTCGTTAAGAATGGGATTTTTGCAGATATTTGGCGAGACAATCCCGATTACTGTAATTTTTTTAAATTAGAATTTTCAAGTTAATGGTCCCTTTTTTTCTTCTTTTATTGTATCTTTTTCAAAGTCAAAATGCTAAAACCACATATTTTTGTGTAAAAAGTCGCTAAAAGTGGGATTTTTGCAGATATTTGCCGAAGCAATCTCAATTACTGGGATTTTTTGAAATTAGAATTTTCAAGTTAATGGCCCTTTTTTTACCTTTTTTAAATCAGAATACTAAAAACACATTTTTTCGTGTAAAAAGTCGTTAAGAGCAGGATTTTTTCAAATATTTGGCGAGGCAATCCCAATTACTGGGCTTTTTTGGAATTTTCTCATATAATTTCTTTAAGTCGTCTTGACTCGTGAGTTTTTTATTGCATTGCGTGAAAATATCTAAATATTTTACGAGGAAATTAAAAACATAAAATTCACCAGATCAGCTTGAAAGTCTGCTTAAACTCTTGAAACAAGCAAAAATATTATGCTTTTCGGCATAATTCTGTGATTTTTCGGATTGTTTTCAACAAAATTGTGCATTTGTAGCTGAAAAACGTGCTAAAACGCTGGAAAAATGCAAAAATAATGTAATTCTAGACTTAATTTCGTGATTTTTTAGCTTGAAAAACATGAGATTTTAGGACCAAAACGTGCTCAAAAACATTTTCGAGCAAATTTTGTGTAGAAACTATAAAACGTTTAATTAGTAATGATTTCTGTATTGTAAATATTTACATCATATTTTCCTTTTGAAATTTCTAAATTATACATTTCACTGTATTTTACGGTTGTTTTATTAAAAAATCACCCAGACTGAATGTAATTAAACAAATAAAAGACGGGGAAATATTTCGTTGCATTTATTCAAGTACAATCCCCCTCAATCCCAGTAAACTTCTTCTTGTAAACTTCCTCCATAATCTTCATTGCTTCGTACAACTCCCTAACACTCTTCTCCTCCGGTTTTGCTTTATTCTTCTCATGGAAGTTCAATATCTCAGCAACTTTCTCATACAACGGTTGGATTTGCTCATACCGCTTTTTCTGTTTCTCCAAATAACTCTTATAACACACCTCCTCTTTGTACTTTTTCATTAACTCAGAAACTTCCTGTTCCAATTTCTCAACTTCTTCACTCTCAACAAGCTCAATATCCACATCAGTGGGGAGTTTAATGTTCTCTGGAAGCGCGAAAATCTCCCGTGACGTTGCTTCAATCTGCTTTAAGGGGACTTCAGCCCGTTCAAGAAACAGACTTCTTAGATCACTTATTTGCGTCTCAATTGTCTCCTGTTGGGCAGGGAATTTGTCTTTCAAAATCTCCTCAAGAGAATTTATGTTATTTTCAATGACATCCTTGGTCATGTCACGAACTGAAATAAAAACAGTTAAAAATTTATTCTAACCTCAAATTTCAAACTCACAATCTTCCATAAACTCAGACACTGTAAAGTCGTAATAATAGTACATTGCACGTTCGTTTTCAGTAGTGTGACTGGTGGCCATTTCGTTTGTAATTAAGGCACAAAAATTAAAAAACGATTCTTTTTTCTAACACTTTTTTTGTTTACTCACAATTCACAAATCTGTCAAATTTGAATCTAGGGACTTTTTGTTTTCTTTTGAAATTGGAAATCAGGAAGTGGAAATTCGTAATTTCAAAAAACAAAAATTGGAAAACGTGAAATAGTTTAAGTTGTCTTGACTCGTGAGTTTATTTTTTTTATTGCATTTTGCCTGAAAACATCTATTTTACCAGGAAATTATAAATGAGTAACAGAATTGCCAAATTAAAAACATAAAATTCACCAGATCAGCTTGAAAATCTGCTTAAACTCTTGAAACAAGCAAAAATGGGATGCTTTTCGGCAGAATTTTGTGATTTTCGGCTTGTTTTTAACAACATTTTGCGAAATGATTGCGTTTCTTGCTGAAAAACGTGCTAAAAATCCCAAAAAATGCAAAATTAATGTAAAAATCGAGTGAAACAAATAAAATAACACCAATATTATTTGCTTTTGTGATTTTTAAGCGTGTTTGGACAAGATTTTGCAAAATAAATGAGCTTCTGGCTCAAAAACGAAGTAAGTCGAGCGAAACAAGCTGAAAACAAACATCAATTTCGATTTAATTTTGTAATTTTTTTGACTGCTTCAACATAGTTTTTAGAGTTTTCTTTGCTTGCATCTCAAAAACGTGTTTAAACACTTAAAAAAGGCAAAAATAACGCCGTTTTTGGTTGAATTTGTTGAATTTTTGTTGTTTTTAACGAAATTTTGCGAAATAATTGTGTTTCTAACTGAAAAAGTATTCGAAAAAGGCAAAAATAAATTGTCATTTTCGATCTCGTCTAGTAAAAACACAACTATTTTTAACCAATTTGGTGGTTTTTCGACTTTTTTGAAAAAAAATTATGAAATAATCAAGTTTCTATTTGAAAACGAGACAAATGCTCGAAAAACAGTTTTTTTCATTTCCAAAAAATCACTATATCAATATTTGCAATCCACTACTGGAAAATATCACTTTACTGTTTATTTGTCAAGTCAATAGGACACGATTTCTGTACACAAAATGTGTTTATTGTAAACTGGTAATTTTGTATTAGTTTAATTTACAAAATAATATTAAAACTCGCTCGTCAATATCTGCATATTTGACTTAGAAATTACTAAACTATATTTTTTTTTATAACACTTTATCGATTTTTGATACGCTTTGGCAAACTCGCGAAAAAACAGAGTTTTCAGCTTAAAAATCTGCTTTAATCTTCGAAAAAGGAAAAAATTATTTCATTTTCGGCCTAATTCTGTATTTTTTTGACTTGTTTTTAACAAAATTTTGCGAAATAATTGCGTTTTTAGGCTAAAAATCTTAAAAAATGCAAAATTAATGTAACTTGAGATTGTAATACAAAAACGTGCTTAAAACTATTCTCAGCTTATTTTTGTTTTTGTGATTTTTAAGCGTGTTTGGATAAGATTTTGCAAAATAAAAAAAGCCTCTGTTGTTTTTAACGAAATTGTCATTTTCAATCCTATTTAGTAAAATCTTGCAAAAAAACAAACAACTATTTTTAACCAATTTAGTGGTTTTTCGACTTTTTTTGAAAAAATAATCAAGTTTCTAGTTGAAAACGTGAAAAAGGCTCGAAAAACAGTTTTTTTGCATTTCCAAAATAGATATTAGAATTTTTACAAAAAAAGTTGAAAATGACGGATGTGAAGTTGGCAACAACCATAGGCGTGCGAAATTTCCTCTAATGGGGGCTTAAGAAACAAACAATTCATGGACTAAAAAATATATTTCATGGCATCCTATAAAACATCCAATTATAATACACCAATACAAAATCTTAAAAATAAAACTCTAATCGTAAAAATATTCGATATATTTCAAATCGGAAAAATTCATTGCTGCTGGTGCATCTTGGCTTGCATTGCAGCGATCATTTCTTGCATCCTCTTCAACTCGGCTTCTTTCTCCAACAATATCCTATCCTTATCACTAGTTGCAGCACTCTTATCATCACCAATCCTGCAACAAAAAAAAAACTAGAAAATTGCATTGACCCCTCAAGACTTACGTATTGCGTTTGGGGACCCCTCCTCTGGCCAAATGCTCCGACCGGTAGTTCTCATAATGCACCTGTTGCGTGATTTCCTGCAAATCCTGCATATGAGTGATCAACATTGTCCTCAACTTAATAAAATCACAATGATCCGGGTTTTCGACCTCCACAACCCCCCAGGGGTAGAGCCGCCCCCTGACCTTCCTCCCCCGGACTTCCAGCAACGTGTTAGCCCCACAAACGGCAAACGGGACCGCTTGTTTCAACTGTCTCACTTGCTCTTTGTACTCCTCATCTTCGTCTGAATCACACTCAGGGAGTGAGTAAATGCGAATTCCGTTTTCTTGGATCTCATCCATGACTTTTTTCTTCAGTCTTTGCATTTCTTTCTTTGTTAAAACATCAGCCTTTGCGATAACTGGCACAATATTGACTTTGTTGTGAAGTTGCTTCATAAATTCTATATCTAGCGGTTTGAGGCCGTGCCCAAAGGGCGATATGAAGTAGAAACAGCAATGAATCCGGTTATCCATGATATTTTTCCGGTTGAGTCCGGATTCGTCCCGGAGGAACCTCTCAAACTGGTCGTCAATATACCGGATTATTTCCGAAAAAGAGTCAGTGTTGTCGATTGCGTCGCCAAATCCGGGGGTGTCAACCACCGTGAGCCTCAATTTCACCCCACGTTCCTCAATTTCAACAGTCGAGGGCTCCAACTTCACTGTTTGTTTCATTTTTTCTATAATTTGAGGTTAGGTGGGGTTTCACGGGCTGGGGGCTTACCTATAGCATCAGGAACTTGTCTTTCGGGGTACAAATCGGTTAGGAAAAGTGCATTGACTAGAGTGGACTTGCCTAAGCCACTTTCACCCACTACCATGAGGGTGAATTCGAAGCCCTTTTTCACCGACTTTCGGTGAACTTGGTTCGGTAAGTTCGCAAAACCGACATAACCGGGGGTTTCCAGGCCTGAAAACTAGAAATTTGCCTAATTAATACCGTTTTTAATACAGGAAATTGGGAGTGATAAAAGAATGAGGGGATACTTACATTTTTGACAGAATCGCTTGACATTTTTCTTAATAGAGATTCGTTCTAGTTAGGTTAGTGAGTTAAGTACAAAAAAACGTACAAAAATTGAGAATTTTAAGTAATTTTAACCGTTTTAAAAGTCGTTATTGTTAACATAAACATCTGGGGTGATTGAAATCACCGACGCTGATTGGTCGGCAGTAGGTGTGGCACTGAATTGGTGCCAACCCAAAAACAAAGACCCTAAAATATTTTTTAAATATTTATTTACTTATTTAAATATACGAGGTGTTGCACAAAATTTTACGACATCTATGTCTAATGCAAAAAACATTATTTAATTTTTTTTTTGAAAACCCTTGATTGTTGTGGTTGTCAAATTATTAATCATAATTTAATAAAATGAGTTTTTAAAAACAATTATAATGTATTCAAATAACAAAAGACAATCCTAATCTTCTGAATAACAAATTAACAAAAATCTTGATATTAATTATTACCAAATATTTAAACTGTGTACTTACAAACATAGAAAATGTAACTTTTCAAATTTCTAAAAAAAATTAGATGTAAAAAGTAAAAACAAACAAACACAAACATGACAAAAACTTATTTTGTAAAAACTTTTAAAAAATTTTTATTTTATAGTTTTGTCTATTTTTTCTTTTTGAATTTATAAGAAATTTTTTCGATAACTATTTATCGTAGAACACTGATCTTTTTTATACAGGGTGCGCCAGAACTAGCGCCCCAGAGAAAGATTTCATGAAAAAAATGTTTAAAAAATCTGTCAAAAAATTTTGACTTTTACGATAAAAAAAGATAATTATTATTCAGTTATTATTTTCAAAGATAAAGTTTATAAAACGAGCATAGAGCGAGTTTTTTTAATTATTGAAGTATACAGGGTGCGCCAGAACTCGAGCCCCAGAGAAAATTTTCATCTTGTATAAGTTTTTTTACAATTATGTAGTAAAGGTACAAAAATTTTGCCAATAAAAGCCACAAATAACATTACCTAAGCAGAGTTACAATTTAGGATAAAGCTTCCTTGTTTCCTCTTTTAATAGCCTATAGCTAAAAAAATTGGAAAATTATTTTTCCAACAGAAATAAATAGAGTCAAAGTGCAAACTTTAAACCCTCATAACTTCTAAATTTTTCTAGACAGAATTTTTTAAAAATTTTTTCATGTTCTTGGTACCTTACCCTACATAGCATTTTTCTTTTTGATGCGAGTTCTGGCGCACCCTGTATATGATAGAAAATTAATTTTTCTTTGCAACAGTACCAAATATAAGAGGTTATCTCCAATAAGTCAGGAGTTAATAGTAATAGACCGCTCTGGGTGCCAAAAATCGACCAAAATTTCGACAAAAATCCAAAAAAAAATTACTTTAAATTTGATCCATTTCACGTTTTTTACATTTCTAGACATGCTTAAGACTCAAAAAAGTGCATAAAATGTTTTTGGGTCAAGTTTAAAAAATTTCAAATTTTTCGAGTTTTTGAGCGGTAGTAAGATGCAAAATAGAAAAAATACGTCATGTCTAGACATTTTATTTGTTTATTTCGTACATTTTAAAATCTACATAGTGATTTATTATTAAATTTTTAACAAATTGTTTTCTTGCAGTTAGTTATTTTCAATTTTCCCCCATTTCAATTAAAAACCTTCTAATTGACAATTTTTAAATTAGGGTGAATATATTCTTGAAAATATAACCCAAATCAAGTTCATCCCAAGGAAATAAATTCCAAACAGCATCAAATTGTGCAAAAATTCAAACCTAAAAAACCTGAAAATTTGTTGGAAAAACTGGTAAACATCCATACCTTCTCATTTTCTTCTTCGCCTCTGCTAAATTACTCAAATCGTCCTCAAACAAGTAAACCCTCAAACCCTTGTAATAGTACCTCAAATAGTACGTCCACTGGACACTCGAAATATCAAAATTGTACAACTTCCGGTCACTCTCATTCATTCTCTCCCAAAGAAGTTTTACATTTTTATTCGAATATTTCCACCCCTTCTCGCTATAAAAACTAAACAGATCGAAGAGTGCGTGGACTTTCCTAATCCGTGACAGCATTTCCGGTCTTTGGAACCGCACCACTTGGAAAAAATCCAAAATTAAGGCCGGAATGTGGTGATAAAAAATGGCCAAGACGTGATAAGAAAGTGATTTTTTCATGGTGCGAAATTTTGGCGCCCATTTTGCTTTTGTGAGGGGGTAGTACGGGAAATGGATTGTGTTCAAATGAAAAAACTCGTAGTAGGTTATGGGATTGTCAATCGAGGACACGTAATTATAGACCGGAATTTCCGTTTTGTCCTTCTTGTAAACGTCCCACGCTATTGCGATCAAGGCGGCTATGGTCAAGTCAACCGGAACCGCTTCCATGTACGATCTAGTGTCACATGGAAACAAACGAAGGAAACCCAAACCAGCGCCTGCTAGGATACTGTTCGGGCCACCGTAACTGTCACTCCAGTTTTCGATTGGGTCTTTATAGGTCGAAGTGACTGCAAAAAAAATAATTTGTTATTTCTAAATTTTCATCTAGTCGCCTATATGCCGCTCTACTCTTCTTGAATCAAATAGTTCTGTCAATTGTGACAGGTGTCAATTAGATCAATATTTTTTATAGCGGCATATTTTATTTTACATAGAAATTCCATAGGCGACTTTATGAAAATCATTTTGACACAATTGTAAAGTTGCGGTCAATTCATAATGTAAAAATTGAGTTGTGTAAATCCGACTTTAAACATCTTAGAGACATATCTATCAAAAAATACTAAAAAAGTCGGGTTAGAATGACACCTGTCATAATTGTTGACATCATTTAGTTGCTTCTGCTGCCAACATAAATAGAACCCACCCACTATGAATTGACAGCGACTTTACATATTTGTCAACAAGAAATTACCACCTAGGATTTGAACTTTTAGGAAAATTACGTTTTTCATGTTGTTTGTAACTAGAATTTTCAGAAGTAGTTTTGTATGCTTTGTTGTCGTCAATTGACGTTTTCTGTCAACCTGCTGTCCAACTATCAATTAAATTATGCATACAATCTGACAGGTGACTTAACCAAAATTTTGACACTAGTGACGATATCTTTTGTTTGTCACCAGAAACCAACCAAATTTATGGCAATTTATTCACAAATATCCCTAAATCCTAGGGAGTAATTTCTTGTTGATACGACAATATAAATTTGGTAAAGTCACCAATAGCCGGTCTAAACACCCCAATTGGGAGGTTTTTGGCTTCTGAGGCAATCATAGCCTCGGTCAAGGCCTTAGTGAAGGCATAACTGTTTGGCCACCCTTCCAACATTCTACAAAAAAAAATTAGAAAAAATCAAGTTTTTGGTTAAATACTTTTCGGAAAGTTTCTCGGCCTGGTTTGGGGTTAAATCCTGTAGCAGGATTTTGACTTCGTCGTAACCCAAGGGATAAGTATAGAAAACTTCATCAATTGTGTCCAAATGGCAGTTGGAAAAGGCCGTTGAAACGTGAATCACACTCTAAAATTTAGTGGAATTAATTTTTGGCCAACTTAAGCCTGACTCACTTTCAAATTTTTCATTTTTTGGCACAATTTCAGCAAATTTTCAGTCCCCCCGATGTTGATCTTGTACGCAGTTTTGATATTTTCGTTCAAATGCACGGTGGCAGCGACGTGAAACACGACATTGACCTTTGTTACCAACTTTTCCCGGTCCTGAAGAGACAATCCCAAATTGTCCGAAACGCAGTCGCCTTCTATAGCGCTGACCCGGCTTTTGAAATTCGGATTTTCGGTTTTGACTTTGTTGTAATACTTTTGAAAAATATTTTCAAGTTCAAGTTGCTACTTACGAGACTGTCCAACATGTCGTAAAGCCTCGTTTGGGCATTTTTCCCTTTTTTGGTTCGAATCAAGACGAAAATTTGGGCGGTGTTGGTGGTCCGGAGAAGGCGCTCGATTAGGACTTTGCCCAAAAATCCGGTTCCTCCGGTTATTAGGACGTTTTGGGTGTTGTAAAAGTCGCGAATTTGGGATTGGGACATTTCTGATTGACGGAAAAACGGTTAATGGCTCGAAATATGCCAATTAACTGATTTTTGAAAAAATCGAGACTAATGATTTGGCCTTCATTAGCCTAGAAAATTGTTTAATTGTGTCTTAAAAAAATTAATTAATTAAGTAAATAATCTAGTATCTGTTGAAAATTGCCATAAATTCTGAATTTCAATTTACAAAATAATAAATAAAATTGTTGGTTATGACTATGTTCCCGAGTCTTTATAACAGGGATAATAATAAATCAAAATCTTTCTGGCTTTTTTTTTGACACCATTTTCTTTTTGTCAAATTTTATTAATTTTTAATTTTTGATTTTAAAGTGTTTGTTATGTCTTCTAATAATCCTTTTAAAACTGACAAATCTTGTTAATAGTACATACGCTTCTTTAGAAGCAGAAGATGGCCTAAAGCCGAAACCGGTCGTTCCCAATAAAAGAAAAAAGCCTGAGAAAGATTTTGATTTATTATTATCCCCTATTAAGAGAACCGTACCAAAGGGGGGAGGGATTAGAGGGTAAAGTATGGAACCAAGCGGTTTTATTTTTAATCATTTCTCTCCAGAAAATAATAATTAATATAAATTAAAGTAATATAAAAACTGTGATCGTATTTTCAGAACGAAATTTTGTTTTGTTTTTGAGTTATGCGATTTTTTTTGTCAAAATTGCAATTTATGTGAAAAAATTTTTTTGAAAAAATTAAATATAAAGCAGATAGTTATAATCCTTAGAGTATAGCTTTTATGAGAAAAATATTTTTATAGTGGGTTGCCATTAAAAAAAAAAAATATTTTGTAGAACTCAAAAACAAAAGGAAATTTCGAAAAATTTTATTCTTGTTAAATGATCACATTTTTATAGTAATTTATCACTCATCAATTAGTTTTTACAAAAAATAAATAGTTTAAGCAAAAAACATTTGGTTCAATACTTTTTATTCACTTGGTATAGTGTTATAAGTGTTAGAAATTTAATTATTTTGTTATTTTAGTGAGTTAATTTTAAATTTTTGTGAATTAATTTTTCATGTGTTAATTATACAGTGTTTCATTTGTATTGTTAGGTACAAATTTAAATAGTTGATAAAATATTTAATTTTAAGACAAAAGTGTTTCGAAAAATGCTATGAAATGGAGCTACACCTTCTAAAAAAAGTACGTTTTTTTAAAGGTTTTTTCCTAATATTTCAGAATAGATAAAATTACAAAATTTGGAACGTTTATATATATGTACACCTAAACAAATGCCAAATAACAAAATTTTTAATTAGGGGTGTCCTAAACGGTAAAACAAATTTAATTTTTAATTTTTATGCTGTTTATGGTCTGTAACATAAATTTTGAAACCGATTTTTACTAAAAATCCGTAAATTGTATCGGAAAAACACAAAAGACCTTTTTTTTTATGAAAAACTATGAAATTTTGTTGCTGAAAGTGGCAAGAAAACACAGGCAATATAGTTAGAGAAAATTTTTACCCTAATCCCATCTTGTTTAGAAAACCCCTAATTAAAAATTTCAACATATAATTTTTGTACTTGTTTAGGTGTATAAAAGTTATCATTGTACCAAACTTTAAATTTTTTTTCTAAAATGATTTCGGAAATATAAGAAAACCCTATTAAAAGATGCACCCCTTGCGTAGCATTTCTCGATATGTGTTCATAGAAAATTTTTGTTTTAAAAATGAATATTCTATCTCCTGTTTAAATTTGTAACAATAAAAAGTATTAAAAAATTATTTAAATTTTTGTTACCGACTTTTGTGAGTTAATTTGTATTTTTTTTATGTTTAATTAAGATCTCTTATTTGAATTTAAAATAAAAACGTGTACTAAGAGACTTTTGCTTTATAATCCGCCTTCTTTCATTTCATTTTCATGGACCAGCAAGAAACCCCCCCTGAAATAAAGTCCTGGTTACGGCCCTGCCTATTAATAAATAAAATGGTAAAGTGCAGCAATTTGAAACTTATAGTAAAATTTTTTATGTATTTTTATAAAATAATTAAATAATTTAATAAGTTTAATGAAATAATCGACTAATATAAGTGGGAGTTGAAAAATTTCTTTCACAACAAAATGTTAGAATTTGTCCCGTTTTTGGTAATTTTTTTGTTTGCCCCCACACACCAGCAATCTCTCCTCGATGGCCTCATTAACTTCATCGAAGAAGGCGGCGCCCAAACCACTAACGAACCCCTGGACACCCCTGTTTTACTCCCATCGTACGATTTTATCATAGTGGGCGCTGGAACGGCGGGGTGTGTTTTAGCCAATCGTTTGAGTGAAAACCCGTCATGGAGTGTACTTTTGTTAGAAGCAGGTCTACCAACTAATTTTTTTAATTCCCCCAAATAATAAATTTGTATACAGGCCGTCCCGAAAACTACCTCATGGATCTTCCAGTGCTGGCAAACTATATCCAGTTCACTGATGCCAACTGGCGGTACAAAACGGAACCAAGTGATAAGTTTTGCTTAGGAATGGTGAACCGGCAATGTAATTGGCCCAGGGGTAAGGTCGTGGGCGGGTCAAGTGTCTTAAACTACATGATTTACACTCGCGGGAATTGGAGGGATTATGACAAGTGGGCGGAGTTAGGGAACGAGGGGTGGGGTTTCAAAGATATATTACCATACTTTAAAAAAATTGAGAATTTTATGGTACCTGGACCATACAATGCCTCGTACCATAACCATGATGGGTATTTGGCTATAAGCTACTCGCCGTATAAAACAAAAATTGCTGATGCTGTTCTCGAGTCGGCCCAAATCCTGGGATTAAAACAAGTTGACTACAATGGACCAACCCAAGTGGGAGTGTCAAGGTTTCAAGTGACCTTGAGGGATGGGATTAGGGAGAGCTCAAGTCGGGCTTATCTCCACCCAATCAGAAATCGAGCTAATTTTCACATGAAAAAATACTCGACTGTGACCAAAATCCTCATTGACCCAATCACGAAAAAAGTCCAAGGAGTTGAAGTTGACACCAATGGAAAAATATACAAAATTGGAGTTTCTAAAGAAGTTTTAGTGGCTGGAGGAGCAGTCAATTCCCCACAACTCCTCATGTTGTCAGGGATTGGTCCCAGGAAGCATTTAACCCAAATGGGAATCCCGGTTTTATCAAATTTGAAAGTTGGGTACAACCTTTTGGACCACGTGGCTTTGGGTGGGTTAACCTTTCGGATAGATGAACCTTATTCTCTTAAAACAGAAAGGGTACTGTCGAAAGAGAGTTTGAACCAGTTTTGGAACCACCATCAAGGCCCAATTACGGCCCCAGGTGGGTGCGAAGTGGTGGTTTTCCATGATTTGAAAGACCCAACAAACCCAGATGGGTACCCGGACATCGAATTAGTCTTCCTGGGTGCCTCCTTGAGCCTTGATCCTCTCCTCCAGAAGAATTTAGGGATTTCGGATTATGTCTACAACACTGTGTACACACCCATCGAACCATTTGACTCCTTTATGGTATTCCCCATGATTCTCAGACCCAAAAGTCGGGGCCGAATCACTTTAAGAGACAACAACTACAAATCGAAACCTCGAATTTTCCCCAACTATTTCCACTATAAGGAGGATCTGGATACCATAATTGGTGGTGTCCGTCTAACTTTGAATATAACCGCCCAGGAACCCATGAGGAAAATTGGTACAAAACTCCACGATATCCCAATCCCACAATGCTCACATCTGGAGTTTGCCTCCGATGAGTACTTTGAGTGCATGGCAAGACACCTCACTTTTACCATTTACCACCATTGTGGGACATGTAAGATGGGTCCGAGGAGTGACAAGTCGGCTGTGGTTGACCCTAGATTGAAGGTTTATGGGATTGAGGGTTTGAGGGTCATTGATGCGTCGGTCATGCCCGAAGTACCAGCGGCACATACCAATGCACCCATTTTCATGATTGCGGAAAAAGGGGCCGATATGATTAAAGAAGAGTGGGTTGGCAATATTGGAGAGCGCTGACTGGCACTAAAATGACAGTAGGGTTTTTAGTTTGGTGAGTTGGCAGTGGTTTTGAGTACCAGTGCAAAATTTGTAATAAATAAATTTATAATAAAATAATAAAATCAGTTGGAGCTGATTATTTTTGCTTTTGGTAAAAAACATTATTTTTTTTAGGGTTATTGTTTTAGTAATGTTGGCTATGGTTTTAAGTGAAGTGCAAAATGGTGTGTTAACAACAAATTCAACCAAAAACGGAGTTTTTTTGCCCTTTTTAAGTGAAAAAAACTGTTTTTCGAGCATCTGTCACATTTTCAAATAGAAACTTGATTATTTCGCAATTTTTTTTTCAAAAAAGTCGAAAAACCTCCAAATTGGTTAAAAATAGTTGTTTGTTTTTTTACAAGATTTTACTAGACGAGATCGAAAATGACAATTTATTTTTGCCTTTTTCGAATACTTTTTGAGCTAGAAACACAATTATTTCGCAAAATTTCGTTAAAAACAACAAAAATTCAACCAAAAACGGCGTTATTTTTGCCTTTTTTAAGTGTTTAAACACGTTTTTGAGATGCAAACAAAGAAAACTCTAAAAACTTCGTTGAAGCAGTCAAAAAAATTACAAACTTAAATCGAAATTGATATTATTTTCAGCTTGTTTCTCTCGACTTACTTCGTTTTTGAGCCAGAAGCTCATTTATTTTGCAAAATCTTGTCCAAACACGCTTAAAAAACACAAAAGCAAATAATATTGGTGTTATTTTGTTTGTTTCACTCGAAAATGATATAATTTTTTCCTTTTTCGAAGATTCAAGTAGATTTTTAAGCTGAAAACTGTGTTTTTTCTCGAGAGTTTGCCAAAGCGTCTCAAAAATTGCTAAATTATTATAAAAAAATATATCATGATATTTTTACCTAACTGTAAATGACAGTAGGGTTTTTAGTTTGGTAAATTGGCAGTGGTTTTGAGTACCAGTGCAAAATTTGTAAACCTTTTAAAACTTATAATAAAATAATAAAATCAGTTGGAGCTGATTATTGTTTAATTTTGCTTTTGGTAAAAAACATTAATTTTTTTAGGGTTATTGCTTTAGTAATGTTGGCTATGGTTTTAAGTGAAGTGCAAAATGGTGTGTTATTTTTCCAAAATTTTCTTTATAAACAACGTTTAAACGTAAAATCGGTTAAAGAAACTGTCTTGTGTTGTGTTTTTTATTAATTTAATCAGAAATTAGGGTAGTTTTTATGAAAATTCGAAAATAATATTGAGTGACCGTTTGTTCCCCGAAAGTAGGGTGTATTTAGAAATATTGGTCCCGATTTATTTATAATTTCTAGCACGTAAGTTGTTTTTGTGTAAGAATTTATGCAAATTTGAAAAAACTAAAAATCAATGAGTGAGGTTAGCCGCAAACGTCAACGCCACCATAGGCGTACCAAAAATATTTTTCAAGGGGTTTAAAACTTCAATTTTTGGGAAATAAAACGGCTAGCATGGGACTTTATTATTTATTAAAATAAATATTTACAAAAGATAAAATGATCTTAATTGAGAATACGAATAACTTATATACATATGTAATAATATTTAAATGCATTTAAAATTCGAACATTAATATTCCCGAATATTAAGTACATTTCAACAGACAACAAACGTAACCAAACGAGATTAGCCCTCGGCTATCAACTTGAATTTTTCTAATATAAATAATTTCTGTGCAAATAGTAAAAATTGTGGGTAAAATGTGATGATGATAAATTACTAATAACCAATCACGAGCTCTCATCTTAGGTACACTTGCCACACTTTTTGATATCTAATATCACGTGTAAAATCATCAGCCTTTAGTTAGCAACCTCGACTAGTCGAAAGTTAACCGGAAGTAAGCGATTTCACTCCAGACTGCAACTCTTCCGTTTAGTCGGAAGTGACGTCACTAGCGGTTTCAAATCCAAAGTAAACTTCTTTTTCTGGTGGAAATAATTCCTCAAACGGGCTGCGGCATATTCCCAATAACCAAATGGGATTTGGGATGTGCCTGCGTTGATAATCCCCCAAATCCCCCAGAAGAAATGGGAGGCAAGCGTGAAGACTTCCACTTCACGTAAAATTTTCTTGGGGTTCTCTTTCGAACCACGCGCCTCCAAGTAGGCTTTGATGAATAGGAGCCGTTGTTTTTTCGATGGGTAATTCTCAAGGTTTTCCTTGTAGAAGGGGTACTCCTCTTCGGTGTAATCGTAGATCCATTCGACGAAATGGTTGGCGATGTCGAATGAGCGGTAGTTGTATGAGCAGTACTCAAAATCTGAGAAGAAAAAAATTAAAAATAACATGGATTTAGACAGGAAGCAAATGACAATTGACAATCGATTATGTCAAATTAATTCACGAGCCGCCACTGGAAAAAAATTTAGCTGCGCAATTAGCACAAAAAAGGAAAACAGAAACGGATTAATTTGAAAAACTAGAAGATTCATTCAGTGTTGCCAGGTGTAGTGAAATTTCACCAGATCTGGTGATTTTCCGTGTTAGTTTGGTGATTTGGTGAAAACTTTTGTAAAAATTCTAATATCTGGTGATTTTTTGGAAATGAAAAAAACTGATTTTCGAGCATTTTTTACGTTGTCAACCAGAAACTTGATTATTTCGTCAAATTAATAAAAAAAAATCGAAAAACCACCACATTGTTTAAAAATAGTTCTGTTTGTTTTTTACAAGATTTTACTAAACAAGACCAAAATGACAATTTATTTTTGTGTTTTTAAAATACTTTTTCAGTTAGAAACACAATTATTTCGCAAAATTTTGTTAAAAACAAGCCAAAAAACACCGAAAATGATATAATTTTTTTCTTTTTTCGAAGGTTCAAGCAGATTTTTAAGCTGAAAACTGTGTTTTTTTCGAGAGTTTGTGCCAAAACGTGTCAAAAATCAATAAAGTGTTATTAAAAAAAATATATAGTTTAATAATTTCGAAGTCAAATATGCAAATATTGACGAGCGAGTTTTAATATTATTTTGTAAATTAAACTAATAAAAAATTATCAGTCTACAATAAACATGTTTTGTGTACACAAATCGTGTCTTATTGACTTGACAAATAAACAGTAAAGTGATATTTTCCAGTAGTGGATTGCAAATATTGATATAGTGATTTTTTGGAAATGAAAAAAACTGATTTTCGAGCATCTGTCTCGTTTTCAAATAGAAACTTGATTATCTCGTATTTTTTTTCAAAAAAGTCGAAAAACTACCAAATTGGTTAAAAATAGTTGTTTGTTTTTTTACAAGATTTTACTAGACGAGATCGAAAATGACAATTTATTTTTGCCTTTTTCGAATAATTTTTCAGTTAGAAACACAATTATTTCGCAAAATGTGGTTAAAAACAACAAAAATTCAACAAATTCAACCAAAAATGGCGTTATTTTTGTCCTTTTAAAGTGTTTAAACAGGTTTTTGAGATGCAAGCAAAGAAAACTCTAAAAACTTCGTTAAAACAGTCAAAAAAATTACAAACTTAAATCGAAATTGATATTATTTTTAGCTTGTTTTGCTCGACTTACTTCGTTTTTGAGCCAGAAGCTCATTTATTTTGCAAAATCTTGTCCAAACACGCTTAAAAATCACAAAAGCAAATAATATTGGTGTTATTTGTTTGTTTCACTCGATTTTTGAGCAAAATAAAACAAAATTAAGCCGAGAATATTTTTAAGCACGTTTTTGTACTACAATCTCAAGTTACATTAATTTTGCATTTTTTGGGATTTTTAGCACGTTTTTCAGCTAGAAACGCAATTATTTCGCAAAATTTTGTTGAAAACAAGCCGAAAAATCACAGAATTAGGCCGAAAATTATATAATTTTTTCCTTTTTCGAAAAGTAGATTTTTAAGCTGAAAACTGTGTTTTGTTGCGAAAGTTTGCCAAAGCGTGTCAAAAATCGCTAAATTGTTATAAAAAAAATTATATTATGATATTTTTATCTAATTCTTAGACTCATTTCACACGTCTAAAATTCACAAAAAGATTAATATTACTGTTATTTTGTTTGTTTCACTCGATTTAACTGATTTCTTGGCAAAATTAAGACAAAAATAAGTTGAGAATTCATAAAATTTGGCCGAAAATGTTTTAAGCACGTTTTTGCACAAAAATGTCAAGACTAGAATTGCATGTCTCGTCCGTTTCAGCACGTTTTTCAGCTAAAAACGCAATTATATGGCAAAATTTTGTTGAAAACAAGCAGAAAAATCACAGAATTAGGCCGAAAAGCATGCCATTTTTGCTTTTTTCAAGAGTTTAAAAAGATTTTTAAGCTGAAAACTGCGTTTTTTCGTGAGATTTTGCCACACAAATCGTAATCTGGTGAAAATTTGGTTAATTTTTCAACACAGATCTGGTAAATTTTATGTTTTTGATCTGGCAACACTCGATTGATAAAAGTAAATAAAAAGAAAAAATACACTAAACAACAAGGTTAACCGAAAAGCAAATGCTTGTTTGTTATGAATCTCTTTGTTTTTAGTAAACAAGCCCAAACTTTTTCATAGCTAACATTATAGAAGATTTTTTTTACTGATAGAAAAACTAAAATATCTGCAAACATATAAAGGCTATAAAACATGAAAGTTTTAACCATAGTTCCGCCATTTTGACTCATATAAAAAGCGCGAAATTCAAAACAAATAAACTAAATGAAATGGAAACCTTCTTTCTGTCTAAAAAAGAAATTAAACACTAGCTTTATAGTCAGAGGGCGCTTGATTAAAAAATGTGTAACACAATGGGCAATAAAAAATAATAAATCACAAAAATTCAAAAACCTCCATTACCTTAAATATGACATAATTGGAGGAAAAATGTTACTTACACAATTTATTTCACTTGAAAAATAAGACCTACAACAAACTCAAACAATAATAATCTCTTATTTGTGTAAGGTTTTAGACAAGTTATTTATTTGTTTACATTCCGATTAATAAAACCAGTCATCAACCTTGAAATTTTATAAAAAAATCCCATTCAATATTATATTTAATTGAAATAAAAAATTGATTTTGAAAATTTGAAAATTGGTACAAAAAGCGGCACTTACTTAAAATTAATTAAAAATTTGGTTACACAAGTGGCCATAAAAACCAAACTTAACCCACCAGTCGTTAAATTCGCAAATGACATTCATTTGTTATTGCGAATTTTCAGTGAATCACAAATGTGCTAATTCTGTTTAAGTTCAAAGGTTATCACTAATGAGTTATCACATACGTTGCAAATCACGAAACAAATGAATACTCAGTCGTTTACCTTGCCAACTAAACCCAATTTTTTCGCGTTCCCTCGGGACCCTATTTTCAATTGTAATTTGCCCGGAAATCCGGATGAAACCTACCAATGACGACGATCTGCGGATCGTTGTTATTGTTATTTTCCGGGGCGTCTTGTCTGACCAAAATATTGCCTTCTTGCATGTCGTTGTGACAAAAAACGACCGGACAATTCTCCATCTCTAGTCGTTTTTTCAACCAATCAACTTCCGACAAAAAGTCGCAATTTACGGCGTTTCGGAAAAATTCAGGAACATCATCACTTTTCAATTTCGATTCGCATGTCCTCAACCATCGATCGATGGTGTCCCAGAGCCAACCGGGCTCCTTGTGGAGGGGCACCTGAAAAATTCAAAATATTGAAAAAAACGTCCCGAATTAGCGACTTTGTAAAAAATTAATGAATTTGACAAAAGACATGTTTCCTGTCGGGCAACTGCAACGAACTGTGTTCCCAATTTTGGTTTGTTCAATTCAATTGTGGGACTTACCAGATTTGGCTAAAAATCAAGTGGTTGTCATGGCTGACTCGAACAAACCAAAAATGCAATGGATGGGTTAAAAAAAATGCAAAAAATGAATAAAATTAGTCAAGCAAAGCCTAGACGTACTTATACGTCACTCCTCGGTCTCGGTTTCGACAAAAAACATGTCACTCTCGAAAAATTTTTATCAAAATTTTGATTAAATTTTTAATTTCATATGAATGATTCCTACGGTTGGACGTCCCCAAATGGCGGAACAGTACGTTTTAACAGAAACGGCTGTTGTTTTGCGCCTCAGGAGGGCACGAGAGAGTGATTCGAGTTGTTTGGGTCCACGATAGGACAACGCTAGAACATAATAACAACAAATCCCCATATGTGTGTGAGATGAGATAGCAAAGCGAACGCCGACCCATGGATTGGCAAAAACAATCACATTTACAGGATTATTAGTCTTGTTTGTGTGATCGGTCGAGTGAAATCCAATGACAATTACTTTATCAGGGTTTAAAAGCAACAAATTGTGATAACCTCGACACAGGTTAAACAATTGCTGGCCAGTAAATAGGTTTATCAGTTGTTTCCTCCTTGAAAATCAGACAAAAGACGCAATAAATAACTTTACAGGTTATGTCATGGTGAAATTTAAATTACGCGCCATTTCTGGGGAATTTAGATGGCAAAAAATCAAAAAAATTAACTTTGGCTCATTTTACGTGAAATATTTGCCTTTGAAACAAAACAAGGAGACACAAGATTATTTTTAATAAAAATTAAGCCCGAATATGCTTATAATTTTGTTTTTAGTTGGTACCGCCGACAATAAATCCCGGTTGTAATAAAATAAACCACGCATGTAAACCTTGTCGTTATTCTTGATTTATGCAAAAACGGATTTTTTTAATTAAATTACAACATTGGGCAGGGTTTTTGTTTACGCATTGCGTAATGTTGGTACTTAGTCCGCGAAAAGTTGATCTAAGTGACGCTGATTTTCCTCGTGAAAAATTGCAGGAAAAACGTATAAATGACGCATTTGGAATAATTTCGTGTCGTGTTTCACAAAATTAGACTGAAATTTCAGTGCATTCGTGAAAAATTGCGAAAATCAAGTCCCGGGATGTCACCGGCCGGTTCGTTGCATGAAAGGTCAGATTCTATTAAAATTGATTAGAGATGTTTATTTTTGGTCTTATTTGTATGATTTGAGTGTTTTCTGTTTGTTTAATAGAGAAATTGGGTTTTTTCCTGCTATTTTACAAAATGAGTAGTGTGAATGTAGCCACATTTGTTGTTCTGGCTAATTGGCTAACTTCACTGTTGAGACATAGGCGTCCCAAATAAAGTTTGAAGAGGGGTCCGAAAAGCAAACAGTTAACCCAAAGGATTTCAAATAATTGCAATAATTAATTAAATAATAAATTATTAAAAAATAAATTAATAATTAATTATAAGTGATATAAAGGCTTTTTACTTTTTTGTTTTTGCTGAATTCCACAATGCTTAGAAAAATAAAATTTTAACTTTTGTGGAGCAGTTTACAGGGTGTGTCAGAATTCGCGCCCCAGAGAAAAATGTCATACTTATAAGGTAAGATACCAGGAACATGGAAAAAATATTTTAAAAAATATCTATAAAAATTTCAAAGTTATGAGAGTTTAAAATTTGCACTTTGATTCTATTTATTTCTGTTGGAAAAATAATTTTACAAGTTTTTTTGCTACAGTCTATTAGAAGAGGAAACAAAGAAGCTGTATCTTAAATTGTAACTCTGTTCAATGTTATTTGTGGTTTTTATTAGCAAAATTTTTGTACCTTTATTAGATAATTGTAAAAAAACATATACAAGATCATCAGTATCATTAAATAGACATAAAAAAATGTCAAACGTCACAAATAAATATCAAAATTTTTTGAGAGAGAATTTTTTAAACATTTTTTTCATGTTCCTTGTATCTTGTCTTACTTGAAATTTTTCTCTGGGGCGCGAGTTCTGGCGCACCCTATACCTATATTACAAATTTACAAAAACATTTGGATAAAAGATGTTAAACTTTTAATAAACAAGAATCCAAATTTTTTATTTTAAATTTAATTTCTAATATCAAGAAATAAGAAAAGCTCATGATTTAATGAGAAAAAAAAAAACTCAAGGTCTTTTGAGGTGTTGAAGAGGAGTAAGTAAATTGATTGGAGATGTTTATTTTTCTATTGTTTGTATGATTCGAGTGTTTTCTGTTTGTTAAATAGAGAAATTGTTTTTTTTTTCCTGCAAAATGAGCAGTGTGAATGTAGCCACATTTGGCTAATTGGCCAACTTCACTGTTGAGACATAGGCGTCCCAAATAAAGTTTAAAAAGGGGTCCGAAAAGCAAACAATTAACCCAAACAATTTCAAAAGTAGGTCGTGATGTCGCCACTCTGCAAAAAATGTTATGCAACCAATTTTGTCATGTTGACAAAGTTGCAATTTTAAAATGTGATCAAATAATTCTATTATCGATTCCAGAAATAACCAGATAAGTGAAACAGTCACGTATGCTTTGAAAAAAAAAAGAATGTCGATGACATACCACAACATACCATGATAATTTTTATCGTACAACAATTAGTACTGTATCTGTAGCAGGCTGTGATTATAATAGACGTCAGATTTTTTTGTTCTATTCGAGCCACTTTGTTTTGCATTAGCAACCTTTCTCTTGAATATTGATTAGTTCTATAAATATGAAATAATTTCTAGAATGAGAAAAAAAAAATCACCTTGAGGCAAATAACTAAGTAAATATTAGCCAATTTTATTATATTTATAACTAAGTCGCAACAGGAAATACATCCAATTTTTTCCTTAAATAAATATTATCGGGTAACGCCCCCTCACACCTCCTTATCAAAATGCGAAATAAGTTGCAAATATTTATCTAGTAGCATCGACTGAAACGCAATATTGTGACCCTGAGAAATTCAAATTATGTCAAATGAAGCGACACCACGTGTCCTTAAAGAAAGAAATCTCAAAGAAACTACAAATAAATGCATTGTCGTAAATATTGACGCGATAATTATTTCCGTAATTTTCCATCAAGTCGTAAGGAAAAAATCCAAATTCCTAGACCTACTTTAACCGTTCACACAAACCTGTCGAAAAATCATGGGTGCAACGCCGCCTCAAAACAATATAAGAAAAATTGAAAAGTCTAACAACCTGACTTAAAAATGTTACCTTGCGTTTTCTCTCATACAAAAAAGACTGGAAAAACCTTACCTCCATGGTGTGTATGGCGGCCATTTTCTGTGCAATCTTTACCGACAACTTCTCGTCGGCGAGTTCTCTGGTACGCAATGGTCTGGCATTGATGTATTGCTCGATACGACCTCCTGGAAAAATTCCGTGGAGTTTTGGACCAAGACCTCTTTCGCTTAATAACGTGAAGACAACGCTTTCGGTGATGAGGGCTTCGAGGGCGTGCTCGCCGTGGGTCTGACCGTAGACGCGGATCAGGACCTCTTGGGGTTCACCCAAATCCTTGCTCTCTTCGACGAGGGATTCCGGCAAGGATATGTGGTAGAGGAGGTTGGACAAGCCACCGCTGGAAGAAATAGACCAGGAAATCAACAGAAGCCTTGGTTGAGATTAAAAAAAAGGGGAAAAACGCGAGATCAAGGCTATTATCTTGAAAGAAAAGTAAATTTTCAGTTTTATGATAATTGGTTATGTAATTAGTGATAATA